TTACAACGTAAAAGTACTAAACTTACAAAGCAAGAAAACAGTGATTCTGTATTAACAATGAAAAACAAACTCGTAAATAAGTTACCATAAAAGTCGCCATAAAATATAACAAAAGTGATGGAGTATCAACGTCGTAAAGTTATCTTTAATAAAAATATTAAAAAAAGTACCTATATACAATAATTTCGGAATAAAAATGTTCAAAGGACTACTATGAAGATGACTTTGAATAACCTAGCAAAGACTTTCCACCATTTAACGAAGGTGTTTTTTTTTCATTTTGATGGTTCAATAACTCTAAGAGTGTAATATAGATGTGGAATTATAAGATATTTTAAGTTAACAAGAATTGTAACATAAAGTCAAATCTGTGATTTTCTTACACGGTTCAAAGAGTTTTGCAAAGAAATATTATACACAACAACATTTTTTTTTTTTTACATTTTTTATTTTAAATCTGCGGCCAGATCCATAATAAATTATAGAAATTATACATACCAAATTAATTATTATGTTTTCTGTTTACTCACGTAACTGTTTGACGGGGAACTCGACTAGTTTCAAGCCACGCTGAAGGCTCATATTCATGAGCAGCAATCCGCGACCCGCGAAGCGGCGGCTGTGGCGCTGCTACTGACATAATAATTAATTTAGTATGTCTCGCAAAAGTTTTAATACAAAATACACCTATATCTAAGCCTTTCTCAGACACAAACAACTATCTTTTAGTAACAAATACATATCATTATCCGTCCATTGGTTTTTGAGTTCATTGTCTACGTACAAACAGAAGTGAAAGGGGTTCCCTTATAAAATACATGTAACGATAGGTGGATCTACTGCTTCCTTATTCTCTAGTCCCGTATAAATTGTAAATTAAATTTAATAAGAATGCCTGCCATAATTTTCCTTTCACTTCGTATTACGAGAAAAGCCAAGCTGAGCTTCCTGAACATTATTCGAGGAAAATGTAATATGTTAACAATGTTAAATATTAACATTTCATCTAACCCGAATTTCGCACTGATATGCCCACAGTGTTTCCGGCAACGAATGGTACGCTTTTGTTATATTTTTTTTTTTAAATTTTTTTATAATTTTATATTATAATATAAAATTTTATATTATTTTTTTTGTTTTATAAATTTTTTCTTTTATATTTTTTTGTTTTTTTTTTAATTTTAAAAAAAAGTTCAGTAACATAACTTTATGTTATCATGCCTTTTTATCCCCGAAAGGGTAGGCAGAGGAGCACATTTCGGCACTTAATGTCACTGTACAAT